CGTGCCGCAGCCAACACACAGAGCCCCCTTTGTCTATATAGATAAAGATGAGTATATGTTTGTTTTTCTAAGGTAAAACCTCACTGTTCAAGATTAATTGCAGTGTTGACACTCGCAGCAGTTATACGGGTTTGAGGTTGTCCTTTGGGCACTTGGGCTCTCCATCACTAACCCCTTGGGATGTTCTTCCCCTCTAATTTTACTTTTCTCCTGGTTATGAGGGCTTGATACACATCACCTGTTGAAAGCAGGCATTTCCCTCTCTCATCTCCACCTTGCCAGCATGGGTGTTTAATCCTAGAACTCCAAAACTTTCAGATTATGCCATTTTTTCAATTTATGTTCATATGGCTTCTGTGGAAAAAGAAAAGTAAATCGCAGACCCCAGCATTAAGAATATTCATGGTTTAATTTTTTTTTAGTAAATGATGTTGATGGAACATATCTGCTTATCACAGTGTTCCAGAGCATCGCATCTCTAACTTCACCCACTTAGACCACCCCTAATTAGACACCAGTCCCTAGAAGTCTGACTCCTGCTGAGTTCAGTCAGGATCCTGATACAGAGCCGCTGACATCAACCTATTCGGAAGAAGATCCACCCTCCTCTGCCCTGCATGCCCAGATCAGCACCAAACGTTTCCTGGAGAAGAACATCACTCTCCAACACTGTCAGGAAAAGCACCGCTCATGAACCTTTCCCACTCTGTACATTGTGCCTTAAGAGAGAAATCTTTCCTAAGCTTTGTCTTAACTGTGAAATCAATCAATAAATAAAAATAAAAAAGCAGAAGGGATCATCTCTAATTTCCAGTATCTTGGAATTACCAGTATCTTGGTGATTACCTGCCAGCAGATGGCAGGTATGCACCAGGATGCCAACCACCGCCCGCACAGCTTACACATAAGGGGAGTAACTGTTGTATCAAAATACAGAAATTCCGACAAATGAGTGGAGAACTTTCCAAAGAAGAGCTGGGGTTAATTGTGCTGATGAAGCCCTCGAGAAGGCGTGGGGACCCTGCCGGGCCTGCTGAGAGCACATCAGCACAGGAAAGTGACAGTAATTGGGGTCCCATACTGAGAAAGCTCCAGATCCAGGAAGTTCAAGCTGCGTACACAAAACTCATTAACCAAGCCCTCCGTCTGTCTTCCCTCAAACCGCAGCTCATGCTTGTTAAGAAGTGCAGATTC